GAAGAAGAAAAAGGGAATGAAAACACCAATTCCAGTTCCTTGGCCTGATAGGAGAGGACTTGGTGAAAACGAATCATCAGTAATTCCCCACTTCTGACATTCACAAGAAAGCTGAAATAAGCATTTTGGGGTACAATGAAGAAACGCTTATCTGGGCTTATTAAATGTAGATTATAGCCTGCCAAGTGAAATAGCAATGTTGTAATTACCTTGTTTAGCTCTATTTTGAATTCCTTTTGTTAGTACTCAAGCTGCAATTAACATACTAGAGCAACCATTGTTTCTTCTTGCATTCCTTTACTCTTTCAGCGGTCTATGGGAGATCGGGGAAACTGTACAGCCTATTTGCATCTCTTTGAAAAGAAGTTATTCAAGCTAGTTTAAATTTTGGTTGATGTTTTTAATTTATCTGAATGGGATACTTCCCATATCTGTGCGCATGTTAGTAATGCCAAGAAAAATGTAAACAGACACTACTTATGATCATCAGTATGGTGAACACAACAACATGTGGATAAATTCAGCTTTTAAGTAGGTGTGCACCGTTTCATTATAATTAGGTGGTGACTCATGCAAATGTCACCAAGACAAGAGCTGCAAATGAGTTTTTCAGGACTACTTAATGTGTTTACTTTGTGTCAGATTTCTGAAGACATTCTGCTGTACGTGCCCAGACAAAGGGTGCCCAGGCTTCGTGCAGACCGCGACTTGTGAAATTCTGCTGGTGTATTTTCATAATGCCTATTTTTTTATTTTGAGCTTTTTTTCATGAGCTTTTTTTTTTTTTCCCACTAGATAGATGTACTCATTATGTAGTAAATCACTATTTAATCTACACAGAATAGGATATGCTACGTGATCCTAAAGTAATTGACAAATGCATTTACTTTATAAGACCTTTTATTTGTAACTAGTATCTTTGACAGAGGAGTCTTTGGCCGGTCCTTGTTTTTCATTGTGTCAAATGAGATGCTGGTGGGATACGTACACTTCTGGAGAATAGGTTTGACTTAGCAAGGTTGATGGCAGAGTTGGGAAATTAGCTACCTTTGGCAGATCTGGAAAAATCTGCATTGTCTTCAGTCAGGAGTCATCTTTTCATTGACCTGGCTCTGTTACCTGAAGAGTTGTTTCCTAAACAGATGTCCAGCTCACACTGGAAAGGTGTCACAGGGTACCAAGCAGATCTGGGAGCCGCATTTTGCCCTTGCATATTAATCAGTGACAAAGTAGCTGCATTTAGTTGCTGAGATGATCATGGAGCTTCAACAGCAACTCCGCCTTATTTTACTTATTTTGAAATGAAATTACCCTTTGGAAAGGCATTTCTATTGGTCTTTTGGGGACAAGACACATAGCCCTTAGTAGCCCTTAATAGTAAACAGAAGTTTAAATTGGCTACTGAAAAGGCTTTTGCTTGAAGATCGCTTGAATTTTCACTTCATTTCTTCTGATATATTTGTTCCTCCTTGGTTATTTTTCAAAGAGAATGAATTGTAAGGAAGGAGTAAGAATTAGGCTTTAAGTGTCTTTTAACAACACATCTATTTTATGTATGAAAATTCTGTTAACTTCAGGAAAGATATATTATTACATTGTCTAGACACTCTGCTCTTAGAGAGTTCAAATTTTAAACACTCCTCTCCTTCTCCAGCTCCCTGATAATGGAAATAAAATGAAGTATCAACTTATTTTTAGTTACTGGATTTAAGAATGGGACTCCGGCTGTAATAGGAAATACAGCTAGCTGTGTTGTATCCAGCCTGGACTAATAGATTTGAGAAGAAAGCATTGCCAGCTGGAACGTGCGTGCATGTTATCTGCATGTGTGTTGTAACAGATGTTGAGCAGAAACTACTTGTCAAAGGTACCTTGTAGTAACTTTTAAAGATGCTTGTTTGCTTCAGTACATTTTTCTTACATCACTAATTTTTTCCATAAAGTCAACCACAAACTGCATTATTGGGGACTCCAGCTGAAGCTTGTGGTGAATAGGAAATAGATTAAACACAGGTTTTCCCTTTACTCTGGTTGCCAACAGTGATGTCAGTAGTTTTAATGATCCTTACCTCAGCTCACTGCAGTCCTAGCACACTCTATTAAAACACTTGTCTTCTGCACTGTTTTTATGTGTTGTTAAGGAAATGCTGATGGCTGTTGATAAGAAACAATGAGGTATCCAGCCATGGCTTACATTCCGAATAAGGTACTTCCGCCTTGAAACATACTATAATAGTTCAGTGAGGAGAGAGGAGGTTGAGATAGTATTTCTGGAATTTTGGACAAAAGTCTTTTAAGTCCAGAAAAAAAGGTTTGTGTGCTAAAATTGAGAATGGGACTTCTTGGTATATGTTATGCACAAACAAGAATCCCCTGGACCCAAGGCCTCACAGGTGGACTGTATTTCCAGTGGCCTTGGAAGAGCACTTTGCTCTCAGAATGCTGGTTTCTCTGCATCTTTATGTGCATTCAGACAGAAGGGGCACCGCTGTCCTCTAACAGTAGCAGGGGTGGTCGTTCTCAGTTACACGGTTTTTGTTTTGTGGGAAGAGGTTTGTCAGAGGACTTGGGGATGTGAAAACAAATCATTGCAATCGATTATTTCAGAAGATCCATAGCAAAGTGTCTAAAATTTTTTCCCTGACAAAATTAGAAGAAAACAAAAGCTACTGATTATATTTTTATCAATGGGTGACAGATAGATTTCCATGTTGTACTGCTGGAGGTACTGGAGGTGTAATTGAAGTCTGTATGAAATGTAGCCTGTGCCAGTTCATGTCCTACATGATTCTGGCTCTTCACCCCAAGTCTCAAACTCTTGGCTATTTCAGCCTGCTGTGGTTTTTCACTCTTTACACATGCACAGGACTCCAGTATTTGAGTGTCTCCGTTTCTGTAACTGTGGGTTTCCTCGGTATTATTTTCTTAGTGAATTCCTCTAGGAAGTGTTTTGTTTTTCAAATAGACTTGTTACTCTCTTTTTTCCTTTGCTTTTCTGACTTTGCTTTTTCATGCAGGAATGAATGCCTGCTAGTAGCAGTTGTGATGACGTCTTGACCATAGTAGTTGAGTTGGTGAGGATTTGTATTGGACAGACCGTTTTGTTCAATACATGACGTATTTCAGTTAGATTATCTGAATACTAGTGGTGTAATACTTGGTCCTGATACTGAAAATTGTTATTTAGGTACTTAAAATCTCTGAGCAGGAAAAGGTGTGGTGACGTAGAGAAGCTGTTGCTATCGTTTCGCTGGCCCCGCATGTGCAGGACAGGTCGGGCTGTGGAGCCCTGCTGGTGGTCACCCAACGTTCCTCTGGCCCTGCTGGGTGTGAAACACCCACCTCAGCTATGCAGCACGCAAATCACGCATGCTTTGCTCCTCTCTTTAAATGAAGCCATTTCTCCTTTGTCGCTTTTCTTTATTAGTAAAGTATGGCATTACTGGCTAATTTTAGGTCCAACATAGTTGAAAGCTGCAAAGCTATGTGAAGCTGTATATAGATATTTGGGTAGGAACATTCCAGTAGATCGCAATGTGAGTGCAAAAGAAAGTTGAAAGTAAATAAGAGATCTGTGAGATAATTCTCCAGGGAGTTTTCACAGCATACCACACATCATTTGCAGGGATAGGCTTTCCTTTCACTTGAAGGACCACACAAAGTAAATTCTGTTTCTTGGGCAATTAAAGAATATAGGACAGGAGGTCTTTTCAGCTTTTTTACTTCACTGTGTCTATGGGAAGCCTGTGTTTGTACTGAGGAAAACGCACTGTTTACCTATCTTTTCAGGAGCATAGTTAATATCTAATATAGAAATAGACACACTTTTATGTAAAATCTAAGTCTTGCTTCATCAGATTTTAGGTGAAACTCCTGAAATGTAAATGATGGTAGTTCTCTAACCCCAGTTAAAACAAAAATATATTCATTTCACTGGTGTGCTGTTCAGTCCCCAGTGGGTATGGCTGCCTGTGACAGTGGTGCCAAGAGAGCAAGATGGGGCTGGGCTCAGGGGTGGCCTGGGGATTGCGTGGCTGCCCCTCTCTGAGTGCCTTGGCCAGGGAGGCAGCCCATGGCCTGTCACCTCCATCCTGTGTCCTCCAGCAGGGACACCACTCCCCACTGGGGGCTGAAGCATCTGCCGTGGGGTTGGTGGCAGGACACGAGGCAGATGGGCGCCGAGAGCACCACACTGTGCACTGTGTCGCTGGTGATCAGAACCCTTGTACTGATCACCCGCCTGTGTGGAATCAATGGAAAAGCCGAGTTGAGAGGATTTGTTGACAGAGTTGCAGTATGTGCTAGATCGGGGAGGCTGGAGCCAAGAAATGAGCTGGTGGGACAGGGTCAAAGGCAGCTTCTGACGTTCATTCCCCATCAAACCTGTGCTGTGCATTAGTAGGGTTGTAGGATCCAGTCCTCTCTTAGAGAGAGAAGATGAATGTAGATAAATTTGTGGACTTTTTACAGGATTTTCTGGATACAATTTTTTTTTAATTTTGTATGTCAATAGCGAATGGTAATGCTGCACCCCTAGTGCTTCATGCCTTGGTCATCCTTCTCATGCAAGCCATGGCATTTGCAGGTAGCCAGGAAGCTCTGCAAGGAGGCCTGATATCTAGTGAATCTTCCGTGCAGTGGGTAAAAACGCCAACAGCAGGCTAATGGTTTGAGCTTTTCTTTCTCTTGGCACAGGAGCTTGTCGGAGTTAATCAGTATGGACACTTAAATTGTTTCTGCTTAGGTGAATCTCTTGCAAGTTTTAAATGTATTTCTGACTGCTTTGAATTTTATTGCCAACATCTGTTTTAAATGCTTTTGGGATTCAGATACTTGAGTACAGTTCAACTGTGTGTGCCATTATTTTCCAGGTGCTAACATTTTCTGTTTGGATTATAGCTCTTTTAAGAAAATAAATAGAAACGGAGGGGGAGGGAAATAATTGCAGAAAAGTTTTTAAAGTGCCCATGATCCTAATTGTCTTTCTCTTTCAATTTCAGAATGATGACCTATACAACCTCAGCAAATCCTTCTTTTAACTCATGGGTATCAAGACTATAAATGTTTCATGCTATCACAACTAGGACCTCACCTCCTCCTCCTCCTCCTCTTCCTCTGTAAATGGGTACGATGCATCCAGTTCAGTTTGTTTACTTTACACAAACCTCAGGAGTTAGTTGACTGAGCTGCACATCCTGTGTTGTGCCAAGCAGAAGCACTGTGACACCTGGACAATGAGTCTCTCTTACTTCATCCTCTACCATAAGGACTTAGCTGGCCACAATGAACTGATGTGCCCACCACTATGTCATGGTGAGAATGGGTATTTTACTAGCACATTTACACAACTTCATTTGCTGCTGAAAACCTGTATGACAAATCATCATTGTAAATTATTACATACAAAACTTAATGTTGGTTGAAGAGTATTAAATATTTAACATAGGTTTTGATTTATACATGTACTTTTTTAATTAAAATGTAACTTTTCCTACAGCACATCTTTTTTGATGTGGAACTGAGGTATACTATATTCTGTTGTAAACAGAGTGGGAAACCTGCTTAAAACAAGGCTTCTAAGAATAGAGTAGGGTACTATTCTTGTTTTAAGATTGTAATTCAGAAAATAATATAATATGAGTCATTGGTCCCTGGGCCTTGATTGTACAGTCATATTTACTGATACTATCAGTTGTAAGATAACCCTGATGTTGAGTTGAGTTCTTTCCAAAAGAAAAATAATTTTGTACTCCTTGTAAAATAATAGTCTGTATTAACTACAATGAAGACAAACATTACTGTACATGGTATTTACAAGTGTCAACTTGAATTCATCAATTGCACAGGAACTGACAAAAAAAATCGGTAAAAAGAAATCAAAGTCTTCCATTGTATATATTGTAAAGAAAAAAAAAAAAACAACCAACAGAAATCCACAAAACAAAATGAAAACAAAAAAGGGTGAACTTTCAAATTGACTCTTTCCCTGGAATGAACATATGGGTGTTTGTAAATTCTGGAAATCTCTTTCTATATGTAATAAACTAGATACTGTTTTATCTGCTGTAGTGGTTTTTTTGAGCTTTTTTGTTTTCTTGGTAAGCCATCTCCGATATCTCAAATTGTCCCACCAGGTTTCTTTGATGTTTCCATTGTGTGTAATTGAGAATGGCTGTGGATCACCATAGTTTAAGAATAAATCAAGTGTAATTAGGTGTAGTAGGGAGTATGCTTCCTTGAATTATTTCACTAAAGCTCTTATTTCAGTTTTCTGGAGATACTTCAGGATACAGCCCTCCATCCACTTAAGTTGGTGGAAGAGTTCATAGCAAGTGAAATCACTGGAAGTCATAGCAAGATTTCAGCGTAAAATTTAAAAGGAACGGCTCAGATGATTGTCTGGAGATCAGTGCAAAAGGAAGGATGAGGAAGAATTCTGCGACTCTCCTGTGCTGCACTCTGGTTCTATGCAGATAAAAATTCTTTGGTGCATAGCATTTGCAGAGCCTTAATTCCTTTGGGGACTGGAAAATTATTGAGATCATGGATTTCCAAGAGAAATGTTGTTGAAGTGATAATTGAACTTGAAGCCATGTCAGGTCCCTGTTGGTCCCTCCTCCTGCTTCTGCGAAGCAGCTCCATGGGCCAATGCACATTCGACAGGATTCTTATTATCAGGAATAGGCAGGCACTCAAAGCACCAGCTCTCCCTGTGGGAAGGCTGTCAGACCCTCAAAGGAGGGGTTTCTTTCCCCTGGGATGTTTGTGATGTCTGGGGTTAGGCTGTAGTTAATGCAATGTCCTCACTGCAGTATAGATGGAGTGGCCATCCCACAGCTATTTTTCACCTTTCCTTTTGCTGGAGGCTTACCATTCCCTTAGATCTGCTGGTATTATTGCACATATATAACCACTTTGACCACATCTAGTCAAAATATTAAGAAAGGACTTGCAGCTTTGGAATATTTTTAAATCATTCTAGATGACTGGGAACAATAGTATGAGTGGTGATGCTGGCAGATTTGAGGATGCTGTTGTGTGGTGAGGCTGCAGCCTGAGAAGGACCTGTGACTGCCCAGGATGCCACCTGTGGAAGTCTTTGCCTTTGCTGATAGAACAGTCTGCTTCTAGAGGGGCTGATACCAATCAGTAAAAGACAGGAGGCCTTGCTTCTTTTTTATGTAGGAACCACAGTAACTTGCTTATTACTCTTGATGAGCATTGGTGCGTATTTTTCCAAAGAAGCATTAATATATAAGAAGGCAGCACTTGCTTTAAAAGAAAGCCACATGCATCAGTCCAGTATTTAAATTTGTAAGTTACCCATTTTCATTTTATCTTAAGATCCTCCTTTTATTTGTTGTTGGTTTTTTTATGGGATTTAGTTGCAATGAAATCCTGCATGTGTTCTGAAGTAAAACATAAAAACCCTCACTCCCAACCCATTTGCTTACAGCCTTCTCCAGCTTAATGAATTAACATAAACGTTCTCTGTGTTGATTTGGTTGCTAAATATTAGCCCATGTTGATGTTGAAGTGCCTTGGATAGAAAAGTATTTTATGGCCATTGTGCTTTGCATTGTTTCGGATAATTTGCATGCTCTAGCAATTACTGAAGTAATAGGTTTGTAAGTACTGGAAGCTACTGTTAAGTTTTAAAAGGCATTCGTAAGCACATTTAATCCTGGTAGAAGTATTTCATGGTGATACATCTATGTGCAAATTTTGTTCATAAAACATGAATTTTTAAAAATTGTAGGAATTGGCAATAGTTGTTACAGAAGGGAATGGTGGGGGGAGGTTAGTGCTGATCTGGTGGGTTTCCTTTCATGTTACTAGTAACATGTGGTCAGAGAAACAGTTTGTTAATGATGTTAACGTGCATTGTTTTTATGTTAATCATTATTTTTTCCTAGTAAAATTGAACATGCTTGTTAAGCAGGTGTTTTGAAAAGGCTTTTGAAGCAAAATGCATCGATAACCAAACCTGAAACTCTTGATTCTTTTCTTGCATAGATTTTTATTCTTATAAATTGCAAACTTTAATAAATAGACCATTATGAACTGAATTCTTTTAAATAAATGCCTCAAAAATACGGTGCTATACTATCGTATCCTTGCATGAATTCTTTTGGTTTGTCTGCCACAGAACCGATTATCATTTCTTTAAGTTTGAAAATGAGCAAATGGGACCAGTCCTGTATTAGCTGGTAGAACTCAGATGGTCAGAAGTATGTTTTGCTTTGAATTTTTTTTTCAAGTGGAAGTTCCTGGTTATTATTTGAGTTCTTTCTGGCTCAGTTAATTGGACAGCTTTAGTTTTCAAAAACTCTGCACTGAATTAATTTATTAGTGCTATTGGTTGGAAAAACCATTTGAAGCAGCCTCCAGGAGTACAAACAACACATCTAGACTTAGGTTTTTGCAAGGATTGTTGTGTTCAAGCTCAGTTTGGTGCTGAGTTGGCATGTATATTGTGGAACTCAAAATAAATTTTCATCCTTCTGGTCTTTGGTATTAAGCTCTTTAATTAGTATTTAAAACGTCATATGTCTCCTATAGTGTTTAATAATTTTTTTTCCAGCCAAGGTCCAAATTCAGAAAGCAAAAAGGAAATTCAGGCCACATTTTTAAACATATTCTAGTGCTGTATCCTTACTTTCTGCATATGTAGGAGTTAAGCATCCGTGTCCATCTTGCTACCAGCTGACTTTTAGCTGAAGCTATTATTCATGCCCTCTATTACACTCAAGGGCTGTGTAATGAGTAGTATGTGCTTAAATGGGTCCTATCAACTTAGCATGTGCCATATTTCAGTTACATGATTCTGCTCTGCAGCAGCAGATTAATGCAGCAGTAGGAACAGCCTTCACATTTGCTTTTGAAATGATTAGCTGAAGCTAGTACTTGGTAGCAGCTTAAGTACAGCATATCAACTGTTAATTGAATCAATCAGGATAGATGTCTGAGTGCTTTGTTCTGCAACTTAATTCACCTACACTAGTTTAGTTTAAAGAAGCAATACTGAAAATAATGAAGTTAAGGCGAATGTTTTGCCCATCTCTTCCGTGACCTCCAACCCATCTTTGGGTACAGCTGATGTCTGTATGGTGGGTATCCCTCTGGCTGCAAGAATCCCCAAAACTCCCATTTCTGCTGTATTAGGGTGCATGACAGTTAAATAAAATAAACCCTCTATGTGTTCTGTAGATTAAACCAATTGAATATATCTCAGAGAAATCAAGTTTTCTATAGGCAGATAAACTATATTGAATCAGAACAAGAAGAAGAAGAGTTATTCTTTGTCACAACTTCAAAAAAATATTTATGCTTTTTCAATTACTCATAGGCTTCTATCTATAGAAACAGAAGCACAGATTATTTAGAGAAAAGAGACCTGACTGGACACCTCACCTACTTTGTACCAGGTAGAGTGTTGCAAGCAAAAACCATTAAAGCAGCAATGCTGCTCTGGCATTGGTAAAAAAAAAAAATACCAGGCAATGTCTTTGATACTATTGCCAGTAATTTTTGAGAAGAAAAAGTTCTGCTTAACTGTTCAGTTCCTGTCTGACTATCCAAAGGCTTGTGGCATTACAGTATATTGCATGTGGCAGTCACAATCGCTGCCTTTCTTTCAGACTTTTGTTTTTTAACTTCAGAATTGGCCTGGCACAGTTTGGCTGTTTGATGTCGTGATGGAACACTCCTGGTGTGTAGGCAGGGCTGGGCGTCCCTCCTGCTGCACCTGGCTGCCCAGCCAGGGGGTGAGACCTCCTGTCTCTTCTTCTCTTGTTTGTTTGGGGTCTTTCCTTTTAATAACTAATTATTAATAATTAGACTGAATGAAGTGTCAGTTATGCCATGAATTTTTTATTGTCAATAAAATACAATAAAGTTGGAATGATGGGGATTTTCTCCTCGGTTTACCGTGGACAGTGGTGGGACCCTGTTATGGTTCCTCACTGCAGTGCTCCGTTTTTCCACTTTTTTGAACATTAACTGCAAGAAGAAATGATAATTATAACAATTTATCAATTTGCTGTTTCGCCTTGAGCTAGTGAATTTAGAACAGCATTTCATTTTTCTTTGAACCATTGTTTGGAAATTTGATTAAGGCAGGAGTTTGAGAACAACAACAAAATTCCTTACATACCCTTGTTCTCTCTGCAGTCGGCTGAGGTGAGTGTTGTTGGTTTTTCCTCATTGTATCTTCTGAAATCAACAACAGGGTGTTGGCTTTTGTTTTAAAAAGCTGATGGATGGTGAGTGTCCAGTTCCTGTGGTCGCAGTCTCAATCTAAAATATGAAGGGCCAAAAAATGGTTATTTGCCCTTTAAATATGCATATGACTAAATTCAGAGAAAAAAGGGTGGCCTCTAACAACATTTAGATACTTCTGCAGTTTCAATACTTAGAATTTGATCATTTTTTCTCCAGAGCCACCTGAAGGCCCTGTGTGCTGAATCTGCGTCCTTTTACCCCCTCCTCAGAGGAGCGGGTCACTGCTGTCGGGCCCAGCCTGCCATTTTACCACAACATCTGGCTTTCCTCAGCTACGTGGCAGAGTAATCTACCTCATACTGTCAATGTGCCTTTATTAGTAGCATGTTTTTCGTTAATTTCAGCTTCTTCACAGTTTGCCTGTGATGGCCATTACGTGGCCTGCTGGTGGAGTTCTTGCCAGTTTCCCTTAGTCATACAGTCCACCTCCTTCATCCACACCGTTGGTGCCACCTCAGCGGGATCCCACAGCAAAAGGTAAGCTGAAATTTTCTTTCCTAAATCTGCCAGGAAACAATTTGCCTGGGCCTCTTCTTTGTCAGGCTCTGTGTGAAGTGGGCTGGTAATCTGTTGGCTCATCACCAGTCTCCCAGTCATGTGGCTAATCCTGAGTGTTGTCATCTGAGGTGAAAGATAAAGAGGAGGGCCCGAGTGTGACACACGTATGTGAAAGATCAAGAGACTTCTGCTTGCCTTGTTATTTTTAAAATTAGAACTAACAATGAGACATGAGTGAGCTGTTTGTTCTTACCTCTGCCAAAACATTGTATGAGTGTGGAT